TAAGGAAAAGGGGGAAAAAATGGCGGACTGCGTTGTTTGGCGACCCCCGTGAAATGGTCGTTCGACCCCAAATGGGGTCCCGACCCACAGGTTGAGAATCATTGATCTAGAAGATAGGCTCAAGATACAGACTTGGGCCCTATCTAACGAAATGAAATTCAATGTAGAGAAAAATAAGATTCTACACTTAGGCAAGAAAAACCAAATCCAGAGGTTTAGAACAGATGGTACCTGGCTCAATAGTGGTAACTGCATGAGGGATGTTAAGAGTCCTAGTGGACAATCACTTAAATATGAGCCTGCCGTATGTTGCAGCTGCCAAAAAAGCTAACACAGTTCTGCATTAACAGAGGGATAGAATCAAGATCAGGTGAAGTATTACCACGTTATCATGCCTTGATAAGACCATACTTGGAATACTGTATCCAGTTTGGTCGCCACAATATAAAAAGATGTTGATAATGCAGAAAAGAGCAACCAAGATGATTGGAGGGCTGAAGGCTAAAACATATGAAGAATGGTTGCAAGAATTGTGTTATGTCTGGTTTAATGAAAAGGACTAAGGTTGACAAGATAGCCGTCTTCCAATATTTGAGGGGCTGCCACAAAAGAGAGAGTCGGCCTATTCTTTTTTTTTTATTAAAAGTTTTATAAGTTTTACAAAAAAAAGAAAAGAAACAAAACAATACAAAGACAAGAAACATATACAAAGAAAAAACTAAACATTACACAACAAACCCTCCCTTCCCCAACCTCCCCCAAACACCCCCCCTTCTCCCCCCCCCGAGCTTCCCAGAGCAGAATATAGGCTTAATTAAAAAACAATCAGAAAAATTATATTTTAAAATATATATGTATATATATAAAAATAAAAATTAAGAAAAAGCTATATAATATTTTTTAATATCCATTTTAAACTGTATAAATTTTATCCATTTATCCCAAACAGCAAGAAATTTGTGTTATGTCTGGTTTAATGAAAAGAAGGACTAGAGGTGACATGATAGCCGTCTTCCAATATTTGAGGGGCTGCCACAAAAGAGAGAGTCGGCCTATTCTTTAAAGCACCAGATGGAAGAACAAGAAGCAATGGATGGTAGATTATCAAAGAGAAATCCAACATAGAATTAAGGAGAAATTTCCTAACAGTGAGAACAATTAACCAGTGGAACAACCTGCCTCCAGAAGCTGTGAGTGCTCCAACACTGGAGGTTTTTAAGAAGAGACTGGACAGCCACTTGTCTGAAATGGTATAGGGTTTCCTGCCTGACCAGGGGGTTGGACTAGATGACCTCCAAGGTCCCTTCCAACTCTGTTATTCCATTATTCTGTTACTTTATTACAGGGGCTCAATTTCAGAGAGATGTTCAACTCTAAAGAAGAAAAGAGGGAATTCAGAACTGAGATAAAGAAGAATGTCGTTCTCACCTAACAGGGAAACCTGTTCATATAGGATCACAGTTTGGAAAGAAGTGATCCCTTGTTCCTCTAAACCTCATAATCACATTAAGTGCTTTAACTGTGCCAATTTTAGATTTCACTTTTTGGCAACAGCAGTGCTGACAATCAATATCAGGTTTCAATTCAGTGCCAGCATGTTGTGGTCTTGAATCAGTAGCAAGAGAGCTCTGGTGTCTTAATCTTCTCTTGGCACATTTTATTCATCCTGGATTTCTCCTTTTATGAACCCCAAAGCAAGTGAGGAAGTAAGTAAGTTAATAATCTACTGATGGAAGATGAGCAGAAAAAGACAACTACCACATAGCAGGTAATGAATAACACACAACAGTTAACAACAATGGCAAGGCAATTATTGTTGTTAACAATCTTATGGCAAGGCAACAAAAAACATCTGTGATCCATCTTGTCAACATCTCAAGACCCAAGAAATACTAGTTTCAATCTTAGAAGAAACAGATTCTATTCCTAGACTTGCAAAACAACAAATCTAGAAAAAACATCTAAAATTTTTTTATGATAGTTTCAATTGGGAAACTGTGAGCATCTTAGACCAAGCTAAGTCCAAAAATGCGACAGAATTTATGGATGCTGTCAAACAAATCAGCCCTTAACAGGCACATACAGATAAATAACATTTACATACTAGTTAAAAGAGACAATCAAAAAAAGTGAACAAAAGACCACACTGATTGGCCAACCACACTCAAAGTGCAGTCTTTAATGGAATTGCATTCACATGGAGGGAAGTGTGTAGTGGGGTACCCCAAGGCTCTTTTCTGGGCCCAGTACTCTTCAACATCTTCATCAACAGTTTGGATGAGGGGATAGATGGTGAAATCATCAAATTTGCAGACGACACCAAGCTGGCAGGAATAGCCAACACTCCAGAAAACAGGCTTAAGATACTGAAGAATGTTGACAGACTTGAACACTGGGCGCTATCTAACAAAATGAAATTCAAAGTAAACTTCTACATTTAGGAAAGGAAATAAAAAACCCACACAGATATAGCATAGATGGTGCTTGGCTTAATAGTAGCAACTGTGAGAGGGATCTTGAAGTCCTAGTGGACAATCATTTAAATATGAGCCAGCCATGTGCTACAGCTGCCAAAAAAGCCAATGCAGTCCAAGGTTGCATTAACAGAGGGATAGAATCAAGATCACATGATGTCAGTAGCAATAGCACTTAAACTTATGGTTCACAATGCCTTACAGTGCCTCACATGCAGAACAGAGTGCTTTACAGCCTTCTCTAAGCGGTTTACAGAGTCAGCATCTTGCCCCCCAACAATCTGGGTCTTCATTTTACTGATCTTGGGAGGATGGAAGGCTGAGTCAACCTTGAGCCCCATCAGGATCGAACTGCTGGCAGTGAGCAGTGCGTATGTCTGCAATAATGCCTTCTAACCACTGCCCCACCAAGGCTCCACTCTATAATATCTTGGTAAGAACATACTTGAAATATTGCATCATGTTTTGGTCACCACCATATAAAAAAGATATTAAGACTTTAAAAAGAGTGTAGAGAAGAGCAACAAAGATGATTAGGGGACTGGAGGCTAAAACATATGAAGAACGGTTGCAAGAATTGCATTATGTCTTCTTCTTCTTGTGCCATATCCGTTATTGGACGTTGGCGATCACATTGGCGATCCTGTTTTTATCAGCAGACGCACGAAAAAGTGCTGTTGAGTTTTGTCCAAACCAGTCCCTTAGATTTTGAAGTCACAATGTTCTTCTTCTGCCTGGACCTTGTTTGCCTTCCATCTTTCCTTGGAGGATTAAATGGAGCATGCCGTATTTTTCTGGGTGTCTCATCACATGTCCAAAATATTCTTACTTTTGTTTTTTAATTGTTTTGATGATTTTCCTCGGCTTTTCCAGCCGGCTTATCACCCCCTCATTTCTGATCTTGTCAACCCAGCTTATACGTAACAGCCGCCTGTAAATCCACATTTGAAATGCTTCTAGTCTCTTCAGGTGGCCTTCTGTCAGAGACCAACTCTCTACTCCATAGAGCAAGATAGAAAAAATATAACATCTGACAATCTTAGGCTTATGTCGTGACTGCAGAAGACCGTTTTCATTTTGAAGAATGCTGTTCGAGCTTTCTCTGTCTTTGTCTTTACTTCAGTGGTCATGTCCCAGATTTCATGTAAATTAGAACTGAGGTGGGTGATCCATTCAACTTTTTCTAGTAGTGTTCCTTCTGAATTTATTGGTTTTTAAATGAATGGGTTGTTGCTGACAACCATGCTCTTGGTTTTTGAGGCGTTAAGCTTCAAGCTGTATTTTTCAGATATTTCTGTGACTCTGTCTACTTCAGTGGTTCTCAACCTTTCTAATGCCGTGACCCCATAATACAGTTCCCCATGTTGTGGTGACCCCCAACCACTTATACATCACCGGGTGCCAGGGGCGTGGCCAAAGGGGGAAAAAATGGCGGACAGCCTTGTTTGGCAACCCCCGTGAAATGGTCATTCGACCCCAAATGGGGTCCCGACCCACAGGTTGAGAACCACTGGTCTACTTTAATGAAAAGATTAAGGGCGGCATGATAGCAGTGCTCCAATATCTAAGGGGCTGCCACAAAGAAGAGGAAGTCAAGGTATTCTCCAAGTGTGTGTGTGCAGAGGGGAAAGGCAGAAAAAGCAGCAATGAATGGAAGTTAACAAAGGCGAGAACCAACCTAGAACTAAAAAGAAATTTCCTGACAGTGAGAACAATTAATCAGTGGAACAACTTGTCTCCAGAAACTATAGGCGCTCCAACAATGGAAGTTCTTAAGAAGAGCTTGGGCAACCATTTGTCTGAAATGGTACAGGGTCTCCTGCTTTAAAGAATCATTTTCCTTTTTTCCAACAAAGGAAGTACACAGCTCCAAGATTTTCCAGCCTGCCTAGCAACCCAAACCATGTAGTTTTCAGACCGAGAGAGGCTGCTGCAAGGCACAGTTTTAAACCTCATTCTTTCTTAAGCTTGCCAGACTTAAGGTTCAGCCATGCTAATCATGAAAAGGGACCATTTGCTTTCTGACAAGTCAGTCGTGAATCCCACAATTGGCAGCCAATCTGAAATGCATCCGATGGAGGATACTGCAACCTCAAGAAATTGTGTGCCCTTTTCATACAACATGTTAGTGAGAAAAGGTGACCACCAGATCCTTCCTGATATTTTTGCAACCAGAGGTTAACAAAAGGCTCTTTGTCTGGCAGCTGTCAATCTTGCCTGAGTTCCTGTTCCCTTACTGGCAGAAGTCATTCGATGTCTTCAGTCATAAATAAGCAAACAGAAATAAACCACACTCACACACCATTCAAAGGAAGCAATTAAAAACCTAGAAAGGAAGCAAAAAGACTAGAACACATTGTCTCCAGCAGCCAATGCCCAGATAAGCAGGGATTAACACCAGACAAACAGAGAAACGTGTGGGGGAGATTGCAGATGGGAACTCAGAGCTGATTCTTCATGGTTAGGAAAAACATGGAAGCATCAACCTGAGCATCAACCATCTGTAGCAGTGCATCAGAAACCCACCTGTGGATTTGCCCATTTTTATGCAGGTACTCCAATCCTTCCAAAACCTCTTTGAGGATTGTGGCTATTACAGGCTCATCCAGGACTCCATTCTTATGTTCCCCTTTGGCTACAATGTGCTTGATCACATCCAGAACAGAACCTGTGTAAATAAGAAGAAAAAGGCTTTATTAAGTGGAAGAAAGAAAATTCTCCTGATAATTTTTCTCTACTGATATAAAATTTGATGATGATGCTGGTAGGTTTATACACCACCCTAAATCTTGATTTTAACTATATTTATTGAAGCAGGTACTTGGCTTGGCTTGCACACAACTCTAAAATCAAACTGTGGTTTATAAACTACAGGTAGTCCTCAATTTGTTCAGCGACCATTAGAAGTTACAACAGCACTGAAAAGTGACACAAAAGCAGATCTCTCACTTAAGACCTTCACAGCACACACACCTCGTCAAGTGATCAAAATTTGGTGTTTAGAATCCGCATGCATTTATTAGTTATGGTGTCCTGCAGTCATGTGATTGTCATTTGCAACCTTTTCAGCCAACTTCTGATGAGTAAAGTCAGTGAATGAAGCTGGATTCTCTTAATACCCATACAACTGACTTAACAGTATAACAGAGTTGGAAGGGACCATGGAGATCTTCTAGTCCAACCCCTTGCTCAGGCAGGAAACTCTATAACATTTCAGACAAGTGGCTGTCCAGTCTCTTCTTACAAACTTCCAGTGTTGGAGCATTCACAGCTTCTGGAGGCAGGTTGTTCCACTGGTTAATTGTCCTCACTGCCAGGAAATTTCTCCTTAGTTCTAGGTTGCTTTTCTCTGATTAGTTTCCACCTGTTGCTTCTTGTCCTATCTTCAGGTGCTTTGGAGAATATCTTGACTCCCTTTTCATTGGGGCAGCCCCTGAGATACTGGAACACTGCTATCATGTCCCCCCTCGTCCTTCTCTTCATTAAACTAGACATACCCAATTCCAGCAACTGTTTTTTATATGTGTTAGTCTTCAGTTCCCTGATCATCTTTGTTGTTCCTCTCTGCACTCTTTCTAGTCATCACCCCTAGTCCTTTTTCTCATTAAACTAGACTCTAGAGTCTAGTTACTAGACATACCAAATTTCTGCCACCATTCTTCACATGTTTTAGTCTTCAGTTCCGTAATCAAAAAGATCAGAGAATCAGGCCATGACTCAGTTAGCAACCACCTTGCTTGGCCTTGGAAATTCTGATCCCAATTGTGGTCATAAGTCAAGGACTATCTGTTCAACAGCTGGATTCATGGTTTTCCCTAAACCAGAATCAAACAAGCCAAGTGATAGCTTAGTAAAGATACGCGTAACATGGATCTCAAGTTGCAAAGACCTCAAACCTACATTTGCTCCTTATATAAGGAATCAGAAACATTTGAAAACTTAATTGTAAGGCTTCACCCAGCATTTACTCTCAAACAGCTGGACAGCACAGGAGGAGGGAATGTTTAGATGAATGCCAGGATGGAAAAAGAAAATATCCTTCTCAAATTTTCAATGTGAAATTTAAATATTTCTAGTCCAGAGAGATTAGGCAACATTCACTAATTTACTAAACCTTTCACCTTTTTCTAATATTTAGGGATGACACAGCTTGCATTGTTTAGACTAGACATAGCACGGCTGTAATCTGATTATTTTGACATAATAAATTTTTACTACTCCTCAATCAAACATTCTTAATAATAAACAGGTTTGCTAAAAGATTCTGGAAGCTGAATCACCATCTTTAAAACTGGTTTTTTTTATTTTATTTTTATATTAAAGCCTTGAACTCAAAACCAGAAAACTTACAACCACGGCCAAATTTAGAAGAAAAGGTACAGATTTTACTTTGTTGAGGTAGTCAGTTAAAGCCGCAGGGTGCAGGAGGAAGCATGTTCAGGCTTGTTATAGGTGACCTGACAGCTAAAATCCACTCAACTATGCCTTATTGAAAATTAAGACTTAACAGTATTTATCTTGATGGCTGCTTAAGCTCAAGTGACAGCCTAAGAATACCCAATTAAAAATAGACCTATTACAAGGATATTTTGCATGGTTTAAAATTGTTTCCTGACTTATCTTCCAAAAATTGTACTTTCAAGACCTTTTCCACTACAGATTAATTGGCTTCATAAAAAGACTGACCAGGTTAATTAATCTACTTGTCCCTCAAAACAAACTGATGTATATTAGCTCTAAAAACCGCACATATACAGATAGTCCTCGGCTTACAACAGTTCATTAATGACCAAAGTTACAGTGGCACTGAAAAAAGTGACTTATGACCGTTTTTCACACTTATAACTTTTGCAGCATTCCTATGGTCACATCATCAAAATTCAGACACTTGGCAGGTGACTCATATTTATGACCATTGCAGTGTCCCAAGGTCACATGATCCCCTTTTGCGACCTTCTGACAAACAAAGTCAATGGGGAAGCCAGATTCACTTAACAACCGTGTTACTAACTTAGTAGCTCCAGTGATTCACTAAACAATTGGGGCAAGAAAAGTCATTAAATGGGGCAAAATTCACTTAGCAAATGTTTCACTTAGCAACACAAATTTTGAGCACAACTGTGGTCATAACTTGAGGACTACCCTTATTAATGGAACAAAAGTGGGTGCGAAAGGGACTTGAGAACACAGGTAGTCCTCAATTTATGACTGCTCATTTAATGACTTTTTAAAGTTATGCCAGAAAATTCTAACAGCTGACCTCTCTCTGGTGACCTGATTGTATTTTGGGTGCTCCGCAATTGGCTCATGTTTACAGCTGAATCATATGACTGTGACTTATAATGTTTTTTGTCAAAAACCAGCATTTACTTCCAGTTTCCAGCAAAAACTGGACTGTAGGGATTAATGAATTCACTTAAGGGCCAGTGTTTGCTTAACGACAGCAGCTAAAAAACATTGCAAAATCAGGTCAGTCACATGATGACCTGCTTTAGGACCATCATGGGTTACGACAGTAATTGCTCACTTATAGTCAAAAGGCGAGGACTACCTACAGTTAAGTACTTTGTGGCTGCTACAAAAAGTAGCTGATTTCCTCCCAGGGTTATTTGGGAGCTTAAAATAACAATGTCAGCAAAGTCTCTTCCCTTATACAAATCTATATATCAATTAGACCAAACTTAGAATCTGATGCATGCTTCTAATTATTACATTTCAATAAATTATAGAGGAGCTGGAAAAATAGCTAAACAAAAAATGGCATTATGACAATGTTTCCCAAACTTGGCAACTTTTAAGATGAGTGGCACTCATCTTCTGGAATTCCTCTGGCTGAGAAATTTTGAGAGTTGAAGTCCATACATCTTAAAAGTTGCCATGGCTCAGATACTGATTTGCATCAGCATTAAAAGAATCACATCAGTTCCTTTGTGCAAGGAGATGATTATCCACCCAGTGTTTCCCCAATTTGCCCACTTCTAGATGTGTAGACTTTAACTCCCAGAATTCCCCTGCCAGAATCTTTGCTGCCGGGAATTCGGGGGGGGGGGGTTGAAGTCACTGAATGAAGCCATTCTTTAACCCAGCCATTATCTTTGTGTGTCTCTGGATATTTATATTTATACCTCACTTTACATCTTAAGAATACAGAACTCTTGGAATCTCTCTTCCAACAGGCATATTTATTAAGAGAAAATGATTGTAGGCGTGCTAGACAGGATCTGAGAAATCCTCTCCCATCCTTCAATGTTTTAAGCATTCCCAAGCAGCCCCCCACCCCACAGTTCTTCCAGGCAACGATCCTTGTTCCCCCCCTTTTTCCTTACTGCTGGCAAAATGGAGACTTCAGAGAGAGTAGATGAAAGGCGATGGCCATATTGTTATGGTCAGTCCTCTTGGTGAGAATCAACATCCAGTCCTTTTGAAGTTTTAATGAAGGAAGTGAGAACCATAAAAAACCCCTGCTCATTCCCCTTCCCCTTCATAGTATGTCAGAATCCAGAGAGAGCAGAAATGGTTTTTTTCCTTAGTAGATAACTAGAAATGAAATATAATTGGATTCTGACATTGTGCCTGTTTTTATGTATAATTTCCTTTACTGCTGATGGGTGCTCTTTGTAATTTAGTTTTGCTATTTTAAGCTTCTTCAGGAGGGAATGCAAGCTGACCAGAGTCTCTCTGGACGAGAGTGACATACAAACCCTTGTAAAGAAACGGTTTCTGAGGGAGCAGAGGCTTTAACCTGGCAAGATACACAAGAACCACTTAGAGTTGGTCATCTATATGCTGTACTGGAAAGAGATGAAGTGTCTCCAGAAAATGCCAACAGGCTCAGTAATATGTTATTAAAACTAGATTATTTCAGATATTTTCAAGCATCCAGTTTAAGATGCTGGAAGAGTAAATAAGCTGTTGCAAATGTGCTCTTTAGAAGGTTTCTAGCATACACATAAACACATACATATATATTAAAGCAGGGGTGTCAAACTCAATTTCATTGAGGGCCGCATCAGCATTCCAGTTGCCCTCGGGGGGTGTGTGGCCAGGGTGGGTGCGGCCTACTGGATGTAGATGGAGTGGGTGTGGCCTACTGAGTGGGCGTGGTCAGCTCTACATTCACGTAAAGAGTTCCTGTGGGGGCCTGGGCAGGAGTGGGACAGATCCGAGGGTCTCTGGCAGAAGGGGGTGGGACCGGGGCAGAGCCCATCAAGCCAGATAGGTGAAGTAGGCGAGGCCATTTGCTGGCCACTTCCAGGCAATGGTGCATTTCTTCATTCCTCACAAAGGGTGACACCTCCCCAGCATGCACCCAGGGGGCGGGGCCGACACAGCAGGGGCTGGTTCCTTGCTATTTCTGGATGGCCTTGTGGAGCTAAGACTGAATGCGTTTCAGCATAGATGGCCACCACAAAATTGTACATTGGCTCCCGGCCGGCCTGGGCCAGGGCCAAGGCAGCGGGGGCCGTTCCCTCACTGTTTCCAGGATGGCTTCGTGGGCCACATGAAACCACTTCACAGGCCACATCCGGCCCCCGGGCCTTGGGTTTGACATGTCTGTATTAAAGGCATTATTAGTCCCAAAGCATCAAACATATTCTGAAGCTGCAAAAAGAGAAAAGTTCAAATCCTTTCTTTCCTTCCTCTCCTTCCTTTCTTCCCTTTTCCCTT